TATTTCTGCACACAAACAAGAGAGCAAATGAATTCGTCAAAAGAATTAGGAATAATTCAACAAGCTGCCGAGTTACTAATCATACAATCCAAGGATCGGGTTCAACTATAGCTTATTATTACAGATCCGTCTTGGCGTCTGTATGTACGTGCGTGTGTTCGTGTTTGTGTGTTTGTGTGTGTGAGAAAGAGATGTTTAATCTACGTAAATGTTGTCCTCGTGCACTTCTCACCAGTTTCCAGTTCCAATAGCTTTCTTTAACTGGTTAGTGTTGGGCCATTAGCGCCTGGGGAAGAACAAAGTTATACGGTGGTGCACGAAAGGAAAACGTCAGAATGTTCTATGTGTGTAAAGTAAAGCGTGGCTGAAGTCTGCGCATGCGTTATTTGTATATTCAACCACAAGTTGGTTTTCATTCTTAAGTTTCAAGTTATTCCTCGTGTCGCCGTCCATATTTCTTTACATCGTCGTTCGTCTATTCTCCACAGAGCTAAACGTGTTGCTCAGCAGATCCCTGCAGCGCCGAGAACAAGTTGTTGTATGTGTCTGCGTAATCAGTCCTGCGAACCACTGTTCTGTTAACGATTCGGGACTTCACTCGACGCTTATATTGCGGTTGCAGAGCGACTAACATTTGAAGAGCAATGCTGAGGGTATAGACTATGTAATGGAGCTTTTCAATATATCAAACGTGGTCGAATATGGGGCTGCGTCGAGGTGGGGCGCATGCTGGGGGGGGCCCTGCCCTTTTAACTGCAGCGAATATAGTATGTCGCCACTTGACACAGCGTTGACCATTCATTGTACTGGAGGTGCGGCAGCACCATTACTTCTTTCAAAATAGACGATAAATAAAGAGATAAGTTTGATGAACAACTATTGAGAGCTCGAGATATCGGCCTGCCACATGCAGTGCTTGTATTTGGAATAAAGATAATGGCGCAACGCTAAAGGAAGCAATAACAAAAAAAAAGAAATTCCCTTCTTGGACTGCTCTTCCGTATCCCCCCCCCCCTCCAATTTCTTTCGAAGCATACCGTCGGATTCTTGTTTAATGACTCGTAGCGGTTAGGCATCACTCCACAAGACGGAAATAATGCCAGCGGAGTTAGAGCGATTAACACCAGAATGTTAAATCGAGTCTACAACAGACGTGGTCCGTAAGTCATGGCTGACGTAAGCTTAATTAACGCTGCCTCTGCAGCTCGTACAAACGTCATGACTGTTACTCCAAGGTCGTAAATCAGTTAAGCTGCGCGTCTTAGCCGGCAGGTCACGCAAGACTGCCGTCGACATATTTTTCACCTGCTGGCAATCGGGCACCGGAAGGGTGCCGCTAAACGCTTTCTTTCAGCTGTCTGCACGGCCTTACTCGTTTCTTCGCTTCGTGGCCCCTCGTTAAATGAAGAACGAAAAGAATGGTTAAGGAGATTCCGCCACTTCGTAGACGCCTTTGCGATAAGAGGTGAGTGGCATCGCCATTATCCCATTGGTGGAGGAAGACGCGCTTTTTCCTCGGTTTTAATCGCACCGGAAGCCTCGCAAGTACGCCTGACACGTGTCAATCTGGCCCGTCACGCCAGAGATGTCACGGTCCGCAAAAGAAGGCCGCGACTAAAGCGCATTATCCTTCCTCCTGCAATGGGTGTACCACGAAAGCACTGGCCGTGCGTTCTAAATGCCTCAATCTCTTTAAAGTCGGGATAGGGGACGAGAGTCCACCAGGAAATTCACGGTGTGATAGCATTTATTTCCAGTTCTCTCATGTTGATTCTCGGTATTATTGGCAAGTCAAGGCAGGATCCGCTCTTCGCATTCCTAGCCTCCGTGATGCCTTACAGGCTGCACCGTCACGCTGCGTAGCGCAAGGGCGGGGGTTCGATTTCCAGTGACGGCGGCCGAATCACGATGAAGGCGATATGTAGGAACGCCCGTGTACTTGAATTTGCATCTTTGTTAAGAATGATGATAGTTATAGCACGAGAACAGAACGATGACAAAGTGGCAAGAAAGACACGTAGCGCTAGCGTCTTTCTTATCTCTTTGTCGTCGTTTGTTCTCGTGCTATAACTATCGTCATGTCATACCAACTAACCGAAACTGCCACACTTCTTTGTTGAAGAGCTCGAGGTAAATCTGAAGTCCCCGTTGCGTCGTACCTCATTATCGTATCGTGGTTCTGGCTGCTAAAGAAAGAGAAAGAAATATAAACGAAAGACAGGGAGGTTAACGGAAGGAAGACTCCGGTTTGCTACCCTGTACTTGGGGAGGAGGAAAACAGGCGTAATATAATGAAAGACAAAGAGAGGAGTTTTTGGCAGTAGTAAAAAAACTACATATGGGGCTGGAAGCATTGTCCTAGTACTACACAACAACATTGTTAAATCCTAGGACCAGGTATTAAGCCGAAAGCCCAGAGCCCTAACCACACGTGCGCGTTTCAGAGCATCGGGGAGTGGCGTGCCCTCTCCCAGTGAAGGAAAAGGGTGCGGCGCCGAGTCTACACGTCACGCGCTGATGCGTTGTAACGCGTGCGTCTGGTTAGGTCTTTGGGAGTCTCATCAAACGCGAAAATTGAACACCGGCGTCGGTATGATCGATGCGAAAATTATCACTCGATGGCGACACCATATATGTGACGTGATTATGATGTCACACATTGTCAAAGTTTGGGATACATTGACTGAGAAGAAAAGGCTTTCGCTTTTGAGTCATTCTGGGCGAATGTATGAGTCTGTGTTTCTTTTTTTTTCTCATTAGCATGTGCAACAAATGGCGATGTCTTCAATATCATACTCCAGTATGTTGCTTCCTTGCATCTCTTACGTTTATGCGTCATCGACATCCGTGTCATTGTCGCTGCGTGCTTGAGTCTTCTTGTCCTATTAACTTTTGCGCTTGCGTCATTCATATACCTGCCAGATAGATTGCTTGCCCTGCAACATTCCTGAGCCGTGCCGAGTGCCTCGTTCACAGAAGTCTTCAGGCGACTACGCGGTTGTCTCAGGAGACAAAATAATAATAGAGACGCGTCTCCAAGTTTAATGGTCAACAACTCTGCTCGCGAACAATAGGTTTAACGATGTGGGGCAAGATGGAGCCCGTGTATGCGTGCTTCGAAGCGTCAATTTTTTCTTTTGTATTGGCTTACTGCTTATGTTGCTCGTCTATACGCGCAGCGTGAAAAAATTTCTCACGGTACGAAGTATACGCCCATTTCGTACCGTGCCCTCTTACGCTTGCTTTAGCCGTGTGGTGCTTTCTTTGAGTGATAGGCGAAAGCGAAGCTCTTCGATCATCCATCTGTTGCGAAACTCCGCGTATGGGCCCCACGTTTCAAAAGCCGGACACCGTAAAACCTGCCTAAGTTCGCCAGCGAATTAAAGAGGAAACCCTCTGACTCTGTTGGTTTTAAAAACTTATAATGCTTTAGTGGCGTAGTATTACAGATTCTGTAGCAGTCAATGTGTTTCGCTACAAGCCCTCGATGATATGTGGGGTTTAACGTCCCAAAATCACCATATGATTATGAGAGACGCCGTAGTGAAGGCCTCTGGAAATTTCGACCACCTGGGGTTCTTTAACGTGCACCCAAATCTGAGCACGCGGGCCTACGACATTTCCGCCTCCATAGGAAATGCAGCCGCCGCAGCCGGGATTCGAACCCGCGACCTGCGGGTCTCGGTACAAGCCCTCGCCGTCCGCCTGGGAGCCATAGACACCTATGGGTGATGCAAAAGAGGGTGCCTATAATGTAGTCTCATGCATAGACAGGATAAGGTCCCCGCGTTGCGTCCCGATTAAGGATGCACGCGTTCCAGCCCCTTGGAAGAGCTGCCGTTGCCGGGAACAACGCATGACCCGTGATCAAGCGGCTTTGAGTTTTTTTTTGCAGCTTCTGTTAAATAAATCGAATTCATCAAGTACGTTCGACTTTTTCCCCTCACCACTCATTCTATCACGCAGTGACTGTTGGCAGGAGTCGTGACAGAGAAGATTACAACAGAAGCGATGGAAAACGTGGAGCGTCTGACAGTTGCGTCACGTGCGCATAAAATATTCAACCATGCATGGAATGTCATTTTAGAAAATAAGTTTTCGTATGTGTGCTTGTGTGTTCATCTTCCACGTACTACTGTTTGTATTTTGTTTCTTCTGTTGTATATCCTCCATCCACTGAAGGGCAAAGGAGTTGCCGGTGCCATACTTGTGCGCCAACATCCCATTTACCTCATATCAATCAAAGGCATAACCGCTGAATATGGCCGACAGATACGCGCTGTAAGCGAAACCGAACGAGCAGTATATTTACAGCTAACTCCTTCCTGCGTATCAGCTTGGTTATAGCCATTTTAGCAAGTAACTGGTAAAGCGCATGATTACCGTGCGCAAGGAGGCCATTGCTGGTGAAGTGACCTTTCATTCTTCTAGCGAGCCGCCAATCGCAGTAAAGTACCGAAGTCATGTCTCGTACTTGTTCGTTTGGGTGATTGAGGACGCCGGCACGCTGACGCCTGGTACGGTTCAAATCTGCTGTTATCTTTCTCGACCTCCTTTTCTCCTTATATACTGCTCTAACACCAATGACGCTGTTGTGGTGACAGCCTCTGGGGACACACGGTCCGCATGGCTCCTTTGTCTAGTATATACTCCCCTGAAGCTTGGAACGTGGTTTGCTGAGGATAGTTTTGTGACTGTTTGTGTTTGAGAGCTGATGAGCTCGGCGAGTTGGAACAGTTCAATCGTGATGGTGATTAGCTCTATAAACGAATAAGAAACGAAACACAAAATGGTGAAGAAGACAATTGTTGTGTCCTCTTTGTCACCCCGTACCCCTTTCACTTTTTATTACTTGTTTTTTTTTTTACCCAGTTCTTTTATTGCGCCATTCGTCATCACGATTGGTCTGGGCAAACGCCCTGAGGTCCTCGAACGCGGCCACAGATGGAGTACTCGAGGCCTTGTAGCTGACGTTGCGCGCACCCCTTCCTTCACTGCAGGTGACGAGTTCGTGTGGGTGGAGATCCAGGAGAAAACGTTCACCAACTGGGTCAACGAGCAGCTTCGACCGGTGGGCGCTGGCGTCGTCACCGACCTCAGGCGCGACCTCAGCGATGGACTGCGGCTCATCTCGCTCGTCGAGGCCCTGCAGAAGCGCCGCCTGCGACGCATTGCGCGACCCCAGAATCAGCACCAGTGCCTGGAGAACGTACAGACGGCGCTCACCGCCATGGCACAGGACAACATCAAGCTCGTCAACATTGGTGAGTTACGTTGGGGCGGATGGGTGGACAGATAAATGGAATGGAATTGGATAGGCTGGTAATGGAATGAGTTGTATCGCTGAATACCGGGAAAGCGTTGTAGGGTGTAGTTAGGCTACATTCTACCAAGTGTCACTTGTCTGTCAAAATGACGTCATTGCTAATGGTAGTCGGAGTGAAGGGGTATTGGAGGTGTAACAACAACCTCAATCGTTTACAGGCGCGCCGTTTGGTGAAGCTCCCCACCGGTGCCTCGCGTACTTAGTCGTGATGAATGGATCCCGATGACGTGCTGTTGGAGGGATATACATAGCACGTCAAAAGTTCCCAGACCGCTATTCAGGCCCTTAGCCAGAAAGCGTGCCCCAGCCCACCCTCTGCCCTGAAATTTGGATGAATGGGGCTGTTTTATCGAGGGCAGATAATAAATGAAAAATAGGCTCAATTATTGCCAGAGATTGGAATGTGTGAGACACGTGCCGAATGTCCCAAAGAGGAACAAAATGAAGGAAACACGATCGTAGGGCGTCGTAAAAGCACGATGTTTTATGGACTCTGATTTCCTATTTCGCCGTGGACCATCTATTTCTTTGAATATTTAAACAGTTAAGAAACGTGGATTATGAAACGTGAGTTATGAAATGTGAATTACGAAATCTGAGTGCATACCTACCGCGGTGTGCCTCAAATTTGGCAAGGAAAGCACAACCTACAACGCAGAATTTGAATCTAGTGCGCCTTTTCAATTTCTTATTGCTCTTGTTTTAATTTTCCTTAAGTACCGATGGTTGTCTCTAGGCTGCTTGTGGACTGTTTCTTTCTCTATAGGATGCACTAATTCGGATTGATAGCGAATTGAAGGGGAACGTGGTCCATACGCTCAGGCATTGTCGCGGATATTTGTGAGGATATTTCGTTGCAGCTCGCGCACGTATATACCTGCCTGTAAGCACGTGTGTGTAGGCACCTGTATTGCACGTTCCCGTGGTAGAAGAAAGTTCTGAGAGAGCCATCAAAATTGAGTCCGTGTGATCGTAACGGATGAAGATACGAAGCAGTTAGGCCCTTGTCGATTAAAAAAAAAGTCTTGGGGCAACTAAATTTTTTTCTGTAGCTCTAGAAGCCCTTTTCTACAGGTTGTCCCACCCATGAGTACGCAGGTTAGACTCACTCATCGAAAACATCCACGCTAAAAGTACGTTACGTATCGCTCGGTGCTGTACACGTCATGGAGTAAGATGCAAATGAAAAAGGGGGGGGAAGGGGGGAACTAGGGCTTCCCTACAACATCCATTATCATCCATTATCTCTAGAGGCAGGTCTGAGACGGAAATGAAATCGATTTTGTACATCAGACCTCTTATATATACACGAGTTACTTTACCTTCCGTTTTAGTTACCTCAGTGCCATCGGGTTCCGCCTTCTCACTAACGAATAAAAGCTATGTGTTTTTATGATCACTATTATTTTGCTGCATTACGATAAGAGCGCCGCGAAACAGGCAACTCAGTTCAGTTTGACAGCCTATGCGATAACGTTTGTGCCGTAGGCTCGGTACACCGTTCTCTCTTAATCGTGGCTCGACGGCTTTCAATTAAAACCCCCGCCGGTGCCACTTGTTATCTCGACGGGCTCCCAGGTCTGCGTGATAGCGCGTGGAGTGTCTCGGTGTGTAAGATCGCCGAGCGTGTTCGCTTTTAGTTCGGGAAAACGCGCGGTGTGCGGAGCGACTTATCGTCGGCGCAACGACCGGAAACGGTGACCGCACCACGCCATGCCGGCGACTCGGTGACCTGGCCCTCGCTGCTGATGCCGCCGTACGTGGCCGATAGCTCGCGATGCGCATTGCTCGAGTTCGGGGCTATGCGTCGCTGCGAAAGTCTATCGCGCGCGCGCGCTGTGGATGAGTCAGAGGCGTCTCGAGTTTCCGGACGCTGGCTGAGAGCCGTTGGCGATAGCACTATGATGTCAAACCCCGCGATTGAAGGCGAGAACGGAAGGAAGGGCGGAGTGGGGAGGGGATCCGTATACATGGATGACTTCGCCGGCACGGCGCTATCTGGGACCGCGATTGTGTAAGGGTTGTCGCGGCTATGGTGATAACGAAGACTGTCCTTCAGGCCAGCCATGGTCGTCGGCGGGATTTTGTCTCATATGGGGAGGGGAAGGAGGCGGGGGGGGGGGGGGCAAACTCGTGTTTCAGCGAGGTTGGAAAGGGTGGGGGGGGGGGGGGGCTGGTGCGACCTTAGGTAGGGAGAAATTGCTAGCGTATATAGCTTGAAGGGGGCAAGTGCCTCTTGGCACCCCCTCCCAACGCCACGACCCTGAAAAATGGCGGGAAGAATGCGAAAGAATTAAGTTCTTGCAAAGCGGTCTTGTCTTGATTGCCAGCTACATGCGCTTCGCGGCTGCAGGAAAAATTTGTTGTAAATGTTTATGCGGCAGCTCCATCGAGTTGCAACGGATTCTGGGCATTTTAGAGCAGCCCTGCTAGTACATAATTATTCACAGTTAAGCCTCTATAAGTGTTCATTTGGCATACACACTGGCCTGAATAAGACAACAGCTCACGAACATACCTGTTGGACCTCGTGCCGAACGCTTATATCAGCGTTCATCTTACGCTCCATTCGATGCACGTTTTTGTCACTACGTTATAGGAGCACCT